TCTTAGATTTCTATTTTTTCTGCCTATAAATTCATCATCCCACTGACTTCTCACCTCCAAAATTCTTTTTTTTTTTTTAACATTCTTATCTTTTTGCTCTTTAGTAGCCAGCTGCCTTCAGGATTTTCTCTTTATCTTTGGTTTTCAGCAGATAGACCATGATTGACCTAGCTTTTCTATTCCATTTAGAATTTACTGAATTTGTAAAATGTTTATATTTTTAAGTTATTTCCTCCCAAATTGCCCAATATATTATGAGTAACTTATATTGTCAGTTTAATGAGGACTAGTATTTAAACAAGAAATGAGGGTCCGGAGAGTCTTGTAGGTGAGGTGCTTGCCTTGCTTGCGGCCAACTCAGATTTGAATCCCCTGCATCCATCACATACGGTTCCCAGAGCACAGAGCCAGGAGTATGCTCTGGCCTCAAACCCCCCCCCCCACACCCACACACATACATACATGGAATGAACATTCTAAAAATAGAAACTATCAGAAGTAGGTCATTCAGTAAAGCTACTGCCATGGAATCTTCATTTCAGTAATGTGTCACCAGGGATAACCTAAATGAATCTTCTTTCTCTTTTCTTTACCTCTCCTCTCTCTCCCCTCTTTCTTGTCCCTCCTCCTCCTCCTCCCCCTCTCCCCCCTCATTGTTGTTGTTTCTGTGGGCCACACTGGGCAGTGCTTTGGGGGTTTCTCCTGGTTCTGCACTCAGGGATTACTTCTGGCAGGCTCTGGAGACCATATGGGATGCTGGGAATGAACCAGGGTCATCCGTGTGCAAGGCAAGTGCCCTACCCACCACTGTACTACCACTCAGTTCTGTCCTCCTTTCCCTTTTTTCTCTTTTCTCCTCTCCCCGTCCCTCCCTTTTCCTCCCACTCTTTCCTGTTCCTCTTTCCCTTCTCCTTCCCCTGATGAGTGGGGTCCATTGCTCAGCAGATGGCATGGGGTCATACTTTAATCACCTTTCCCCTTCCCTTCTCTTCTCTTTTTGCTGGAGATCAAATTTAGGGCTTCATGCAGGAAAGGCAAGTGCTCAACCACCAAGCCATAGCCCCAGCCCTGCAACGTTTTACATCCTCACTGCCCTCCCTTTTCTGTTGTTTCACTGTCTGGGTTCCCTTCACGTCAGGAAGTCCTGAATCACTTCTCCAGTGCCTGTAACTAGATCTTTTCCTTTATTTCATGTAGGTGATGGGCCGTGGAGATGGCATAGGTCCGTAACACTGAAAGTGTGTTGTGGGCAAGCTGGTACTATGTATCTCAAGGAGACTTCTAAGGCAATAGGGTGCCTAGTGCGGCAGTCTCACGATGGGCAAGGTGTGCTTTTTTGGGGGCGAAAACTGGCAGTGCCTGAACCCAAGATTATATGCCTTTCTAGCCATTAAATCGTCTATATTGAATAAATGCTCCACCCCGTATATTTATCCTAAGCATATGTAGCTTATACTCTGTAGTAGCTTAGTGATTTTTAACAGTACACTAAAAAACAATAGCTCTGTAGCACTGTCCTCCCGTTGTTCATCGATTTGCTCGAGTGGGCACCAGTAACTTCTCCATTGTGAGACTTGTTACTGTTTTTGGCATATCAAGTACACCACAGGGAATTTGCCAGGCTCTGCCGTGCAGGCAGCATACTCTCAGTAGCTTGCCGGGCTCTCTCAGGGGGATGAGGAATTGAACCCGGGTTGACCACAAGCAAGGCAAACACCCTACCTGCTGTGCTATCACTCCGCCCAGTAAAAAAAAAAATTAATTCTTTTATATATGTGAAATCTATTCAAAACAAAGACTTTAATTTTGTGCACGTGTTTGTTTATGGCTGGCTGGGACTCCAGCAGAGTCTGTCAACGAAAGGGCTTCATTCTAGTGAAAGTAGTTTGAGGACCTAGAGGCTACACTCCTTGTGGTGCACATGTACAGGTTACTAGTTGAAGTTGTCAAGGGATATGATGGTGTGGTTCTGTGTTTTTGAAAACCCATTAGGTCCACAAGTGAAAAGGATTATTGCTAAGTAATATAAATAGAACAGACTTGAAACACCTTTTCATATCTGTTTTAATTATGACAAATAAAGGAAATTTTTTTGCGGCTCAGTAAATAGAGTAAGAAATGTGTATGGCTTCTTGATTATGGCCCACCAAAAAAGCAGTACATAACATGCACACTGTACCACTGTAGCACTGTCCTACCATTGTTCATTGATTTGCTCGAGCGGGCCCAGTATTGTCTCCATTGTGAGACTTGTTGTTACTGTTTGCATATCGAATACGTCGCTTGGAGCTTGCCAGGCTTTGCCGTGCGGCCACGATAACTCTTGCCCAGCTCTCCTAGAGGGGCGGAGGAATCGAACTCAGGTTGGCCAGGTCGGCCACGTGCAAGGCAAATGCCCTACCTGCGGTGCTAACATGCACACTAGGTCAGGTTTTTCAGGCATGAGGAGCCCTTCCTTTTTAATACCAGGCAGCCTCTATAGGGTATAGTTGCGCTCTTGGTATGTATGAATGTGAAAATCTAATAGACTTGATTTAATAATACCAAGTAACTGGTGGTGACTTTTTTTTTAAGTAGGGCCACACCCAGCAGTGATGTGGGGTGGACTGGAGTCTGGGGGTTCGCCCAACTCGTGCTGTGACTTCTCTCCCCTGACCCACTTGCATCTAGATAGAACTTGTCAGCACTGTTTTTGTTGGGGGGCCCACGTGCAGTGGTGCTTCTGGGGTGCTCCTAGGCTTATTGCATTACTGGTGGTTCAAGCCAAAGGGGCCTCCTATTGTGACAAGTGTCACCCCCATTCCGTGTTGAGCTATGGACCCCACTTACTGGTGTTAAAGCTGCATTTTCCATTTTTGCTTACAGACAAGAGATTTGTTGTCATCCACATTGTCCTCTTTTGTTCCTTGAATAGGTAAAAATATTTATACTAACAAGCATTTGTGACCTTAGGTCTTTGGTCACTGACATATTCAGATAGCAGCTAAATACTGGAAAGAAAAAGGAAGTAGTAGTTATGCAAGTGCATATAAATATCTTTCATTTTGTATGTTTTTTTCCAAGCCCCTCTGAACTTGATTTCACTCTTATTATGTACAATGATATTTAAGAAGTTTCCCCCCCCCAAAATTGCATGCTTTTAAAAAAAGAGGGGCAAGGGATATGGCTCAGTGGTAGAGAACTTGCCTTAAGTGTGATGTGATTCCCAGTCACTCAATAAGCAATTAAGTTGTTCCCTTTCTGTTGGTATTTTGGTACATGTGCTTGGGATATTGATAATTTTAAATCAATAGATAGGCCTCATTTTACTTTAAGGATACATGGTGTGCATGCATGCGCGCGCACACACACACACATACCATGAGAAACAGTTGAAATTGTATGTTTTGTCTTCATTGCTACAATTCTCTTATCAGTGAATCTGAAAAAGACTTGAAGTTAATGGAATATTTGAAACTAAGCAACATTAGTTACATTCATACTCAGTTCTGCTTAAGAGTTTTCACCCTTGGGGCTGGAGCAATAAATAGCACAGCGGGTAGGGTGTTTGCTTTGCATGCGGCCAACCCAGGTTCGATTCCCAGCATCCCATATGGTCTCCTGAGCACCGCCAGGGGTAATTCCTGAGTGCAGAGCCAAGAGTAACCCCATTTGCATCCCCGGGTGTGACCCAAAAAAATTTAAAAAATAAAAAAAAAGAGAGAGAGAGAGAGAGAGTTCTCACCCTTCTCGGTTCAAATTGGAGACCAATCTGAATTGTTCCCAATCCAATTGGAGACCATCTTTCCAAGTGGTGTATTACTTAAGGGCATTGTAATTGATCATCATGATAAAAAAACAAAGTCAGGAGCGGGGACTATCTGATCCTTGAGTATGGCCTTGTGCAGCTTCAGCAGTGCTCCTCCTTCCAGCTGGATTATCTGTTTTGGGCTCTAGCCCCTCTTGCTTCCTTCTCACATCTGTCAGGGTCCATTGTGTCTCCAGATGTTGGGCTGGTGGAGTTTGTAGCTGTGACCCAAATTTCACAAACATTGAGACTATTTTGTTACAGGCTGTCTAATTGTCTCATAGTCCACCAGTGAGTGGTCTTGTGTTTATACTGGAAGGGAGAAGAACAGGGTACCAGTAAATGAAATGGGCACCATTAGAAATCGGAAGGGAGCTATTTTTTAATAGCTTCAAAAGAGAATTAGTGAGTTCTACTGAGCAAACACCATTAGTCTCGGATACAGCAGCGTCTGCTGCCGCACTGGTTCTGAAAGTCCCAGCTCTGAGGCACGGACTTACTGGCAGATACGAAGGTAGGGTTTTTAGTAGTCGAGGCCACTCCAGTGGGTACAAAAGCTGCAAAATTCACACTGGGCCCAGGGATGGAGCATAGTCGGGCGCTTGCCTCCGTGTTTGAGGCCTGGACTCCAAACCTGACACCACAAAAGCAGAATCGGGCAAATTCTGATGGAAAAAGCCTTCAAGGTTAGTGACCTGTAAGTTACTGGAAGAAATGAGAAAACATTTTAAAGTATACGTGTCAGTCCTAGCAACAGGGAAAACCTCATGGGAACAAGTGAAAAGAAAACCATCTTGGTACAGGTGAGAAACATCCAGATGTAAAAACAATTTGATAAAGCACTAATTTGATAAGTAGAGATGGCAAGCAGGTGTGAAACTTTTTTTTTTGAGTTTACTTTTTGATGTTAGCATGTCAATATTAGTATCTGGATCCACTGCCACCTCCCACCTTGGTCTAAATGACAAGGTCCCTTTGTACTTCCCACTTAACCCTCTACACCATTCTGTATAAGCTAGTGAGGTAGAGAACACCAGGGCCATCAGCTGCTACATGTATGCCAGGTAGGCTGATGTCAACTGCTCTCTTTCTTTGGTAAATAACAATTAAGTATCCACTTGATTCTCATTCAGAACTGGATCATCATTGTGTTGAAAAGCATGTAATTGTGGGATACATTGTTAAATGTTTATGGTCTGCTTTCTTTTTGTAGAACACAAAGTAATTATAGTGGGACTGGATAATGCAGGGAAAACCACCATTCTTTATCAATTGTAAGTATGGGAGTTTATTTAAACCGTTTTCATTGTTTTAGTTCTTGGAATTCATTTTCTGTGATTAATGAGATACCATTATAATGTAGTGCCGATCTTAAATATATAATTTTTTATTTTCCCAAACACACAATTTACTTAAAAAGTGATACATTGGGGGCTGGAGAGATAGAACAGGGTTTGAGGTGCTTGTCTTATTTGTGGCTGAGCCCAATTTGATCCCAGGACTGCATTGTGATCTCTTAAGTACAGAGCCTGCAATTAGCCCTGAGCACGGTCAATTGTGGCCCAAACCCACCCCATCCCTACAAAAATAAATACAAATTTTAAATGGGGCTCAGAGAGATAGTACAGCTGACAGGGCGTTAGTCTTACGCAGATGACCTAGGTTTGATCACAGGCATCCCATATAGCTCCCTGAATACCAAGAACTTTTTTATGGCTCAAAAACCAAAAATAAATAAAGGTAAGATTTTAAAAAGAGGGACTGGAGCGATAGCACAGCGGATAGGGCATTTGCCTTGCACGCAGCCAACATGGTCTACATGGGTTTGATTCCCAGCATCCCATATTGTCCCCCGAGCACCTCCAGGAATAATTCTTAAGTGTAGAGCCAGGAGGATCTGCTGAGCATCGCCGGGTGTGACACCCCCCCCAAAAAAAAGATTTAAAAAAGATAAATGATTGTATATTTGCTAGAGGCTTTACAGACACTTGTTTTCTGATCTTCAGAGAAAGAATGAATGCTCAGCTAACATAAACAGAGGCAGTGCTGAGGTGGGTAGAAAGAACACAGCTGAAGTTCCCGCACACGGAGGTTCGTGGGAATAGAGCAGTCTCCAGGAAGCTCTCTCGGCCCTCCCAATGCTTAAACACAGACTTGTCAGATCGAAAGACAGGAGGCTGGCTCCAGAAGATATCATTTTAGTAGTCTGATACTTTCAGAAAAAAGTACATTAATACTTTAAAAGCAAGATCAGTGGCCATCAATTCCCTTGTCAAAATACTTCCCAGTGTCCTTTCCCCGCCAGTCCTGGCCTCTCATTGTTCCGCAGCAGCGATGCTCTGTGTACCAAGAATTTTAACCAAGTTACAAAATACAGTGCAACATCCTGTGGCTCTTATCTCTTCCTATCTCTTTTTTTACTTTGGGTTTGGGGCCACAGCTGACAGTGATTGGGACTTACTCCTGGCTCTGTGCTCAGGGATCACTCCGGAGGGGCTTGGGAGCGTTTGTAGTGCCAGGGTTCGAATCCGGGTTAGCCGTGTGCAAGGCAAGTGCCTATTCTCTCTCTAGCCCTTCCTACCTCATTGTAAGTGTCTCAGCTGAGAGCTTTCTAGAAATATTTCACTTAAGCAATGTGTAAAGTCTTTTTCAATACTTTACTAAAAAGCTAATATATGCTGGTCTCGAAGTTGAATGCTTGTTTTTAAAACTGTTATTGATTATTATGTATTTTAATAGGATTTAATCTTCAGCATGACAAACATTTCAGACACCTGTAATTATTGAGATAACTGCACATGGCCTCAAAAACCTGACAGTTGTGCACTTCTTCTATCATAATACCAGCGTGTTATAGGCAAATACATATTCATTGAATGAATAGCTTAACCTGTTTTGATATTTGAGACTAATGGAAATAATTTTATGGTTTAGCCAGATTTATTTTCTCACTTAGACAGTTTTCAGCATTACAGGTAGCCTGTAGTTCTTGGTTGCTACTTTGGAATTATTAAAACCACACTTAGAAACTTGCTTTTTAAAAGATGGGTTATTGACTGGATTTTGGTAACAGGGCATGGTGATATTGGAGGTGAGCCTCAGAAAAGCAAACTCACAGCACAGTTTCCTTCCATCTATTTATTACATTCTGTAGTTTATTCCATAAAATGAAAATACAAGTTTCCTTCCGGATCTGTTCTTTATCTAGGTACTTGTTAGCACAAAATGTTCACCAAGGTTCTATTTTTGATGTTAGTGCTACTGTCATTGGTAATCATAATGAAGGCTGATGCATGTTAGAGATAAGACTGCAAGTTCTCAAGATTTATGAGTTTTTGTGGTGTCTGTCTTTAACAGCTTAATGAATGAGGTGGTTCATACGTCTCCAACTATAGGAAGTAACGTTGAAGAAATTGTTGTGAAGAACACACATTTTCTTATGTGGGATATCGGTGGTCAGGAGTCACTGCGGTCATCCTGGAACACGTATTACTCCAACACAGAGGTATAGGAAAGTGACTGCTGAGATCTGTTTTTTATTTTGTTGAGGGCCACACCCAGTGGTGCTCTGGGGCATCTCCTAGGTCACTCGTGGTAGTGTGTGGGGACTGTGCTTGTGATGTGGAGCATCACATCTGGGCCTTCTCTGTACACCCCAGCTTACTTAGTTGCTCTCTGGCCCACTTCTGACTTTGTAAAAACAACCAAGGAGCAAACCTTCCATATAGGCTATACATAAGGCATGTTGGTGGTTCCCTTTTAGTAAGATCTTTGTTGGAATGAATTTGAGGTTTCTCACATTAAAGTGGAAAGGAAAATAGAAAAAGGACTGGTAGTTGTTACTGATGGAGCCATTTCTGTTGGGCAAATTCTGTATTCATCTTTGTAGGACATTGTAGTATCTCCATCATTGGCGATATCAGATGCTAGGATAAATTATGACTTCTCCCCAAACTTGCACAACTTTTTAGACGTTACTTAAGCATTATTTAAATTATGTGACATTTAAAAATTGCTTTTAATTACCTGCATTAAAAAATATTAAGAGTTATGGAAAGCTATATATTTAAATATCACTTTAAAAAAATAATTTGGGCTTACTCTTTGCTCGTTAAAATTATGAGTTATCTTATTTTTTACTGGTTGATGGAATTCAATATAATGTAAACTGATAAAGTGGTCGATTCTTTAGTGACAGTGATGCCATATGAAGTACATATTAATTGAAAGTAATTTTGCCGCAAACTTAAAGATCCTGTTTAATTTTCTTTTTAATTGTCTTCTAGTTCATCATTCTTGTTGTTGATAGCATTGACAGGGAACGACTAGCTATTACAAAAGAAGAATTATACAGAATGTTGGCTCACGAGGTAAATTTTGAAAGCAAACAAATAATAAAATGAAATATCTGTGCTGGTTTTGCTTTTTTGTTAATCCATGTTCAGTGTTGATTATTTCATCATTAACAAGGTTTTATGTATTGATGGAAGTATGAAAGTCAGGAATTTTCATTTTTAAGTTTAGTTATTACATTAATTTGTAGAGTACTAACATTTTGGGGGGTAAAATGTTAATTGTGGGGTTTTATTTATTTTGTTTTTTAAATTTCAAAATCCTTCTCAAACAAGAATTTCCATCTGTTAGAAATCTCTCAACAAACCAATATTGCTTGATTCTTCCTTTAACATATTTACAACACAAATTTATTGTGTTTTTTATTTTTATATATTTTTTATATGCTTTCATGTTCACCTTTATATATAATATATATATATATATATATATATATATATATATATATATATATATATATGTCTCATAGCTTGTTTATCCACTTACCAGTTCCTGGACACATGGGTTGTTTCCAGAGTTTTGCTATTATGAATAGTGCCACAGTGAAAATAAGGAGTACAAATGTCTTTTCTGAAGAGAGTTTTTGGGTTCTTAGGGTCGAAGCCCAGAGTAGAATTGCTTGGTCCCACTGACGCTCAATTCCTTGTTTTGTGAGAAGTGTCCATATTGTTTTCCAGAAAGGTTGGGCCAGTCGACACATTCCTCCCAGCAGTGAATGTGGGTCCCTTTGCCCTGCATCTGTGCCAACACTGGTGGTTTTTGTTCTCTGTGCCAGTCTCCCTGGTGTGAGATGGTATCTCATTGTTTTGATTTTCATCTTCCTGCTGAAGTACTTACTCTGAACAGAGCAAGTTTTTCAAGAGTTAATACTTTGTTATGCCTTAGTCTCTGTTTTTAAAATTAATTAATTTATTTATTTATTGAATCACTGTGGGAAAAGTTACAAACCTTTCAGGTTTAAGTCTCGGTCATGCAATTATCAAACACATTTCCCTTGACCAATACTTATTTTTTCACCACTAAGAACCCCAATAACTGCCCCCTCCCAACCCTCCCAATACCTGTGAGGCAGTTGAATTCTAGTTAACACTCTATATACTTTGATTAGATTCATTGTTTTCACAAAAGATGCACCATAATATCTAGAGTTTACACCCCCAAATCAGACATGCTGAAAAGGCATTGTGAAATAATTTGTTTTCTACAGCTGGTTACAAGAATCAAATGATGTCGTGGCCGCGCGATTTTGGATTTCTGGTATTTTACTCATTAAGCCTGGAAGTATTTCTGCTGAGAGTCAGATAATTATGAGATTGGTTTCTGTGCTCTTGGAGCCATGACCCTGCCGGAGAGCCGCTCGTGGGGGGCAACTCGTGACCTCGGTAGGGCGTGAAGGATGAGCCGGGAATGCCCCCCTTCCCATGAGGTTTCAGTCGCCCCATCACGACCTGCTCATGCCTGGCTTTCCATGAGGCTCTGAAGCAGCTGCCATCTTTCTTTCCAGAGGAAAAAAGGCGGAAGGGAGCAACACCCTTTCCCCTCTGGGCATGCCTCTTAAGGCAAGAAAAGAGTGAAACATTCCCCACACTTTTTTAATAACTGAAAATTCATTATGAATATCTGGGACCACTCATTTTTTCAGCTATATGCAGTGCTCACTGGAAGTGCATATACTAAAATCAAAATGACACAGAAGATTAGCACAGTCCCTACTCAAGGATGGCACACAGATTGATGACGAATTCTATATTTTCACTGTCCCTTAAAAAAAAATTAGGTAAATGAAACATTTATCATGTACCCACCATTCAGCTTAAAATACTAAATGTCCTGTGAGCCCTCTCCAATCTAATTTCCTTGCTTCTTTCTCAGTTAATCCTGAAAGAATTCCACTATCACGATCATCATTCCTTTGTACATGTGGGGGGAGTGGGGGACAGGGGTCGCCCAGCAGTGCTCAGGGCACCCTGGGGCCACTCCTGGTTCTCTCTCGAGGACTCTGTAGTGCAGGGGGTGACCAGAATCACCCTGGCAGTGCCTGGGGTCTCTAGGGACATACCTGCAAATCCTTTTTTCCACTTTTACAACATTGGTATATATCTGCTAGTTGTACAGAAAATCAGATTCTTTGTTCATAAAAATTAACGTGATGTTATAAATTATTCGTGTTTGTATGCATGTTTAATTGATGACTACATGTGTGAATACTACAGAGTTCATCTGTGCATCTGCTTATGAATAGTTAGGTGGTTTCTAATATTTTGGTTACATAAGTCCTGCCGCAATGAGCATTGATTTTTATTTTGATATTTCACATATTAGTAATAGTTTGTATTATTTGCAGGATTTAAGGAAGGCTGCAGTCCTTATCTTTGCAAATAAACAGGATATGAAAGGGTGTATGACAGCAGCTGAAATCTCTAAATACCTCACCCTTAGTTCCATTAAGGATCATCCTTGGCACATCCAGTCCTGCTGTGCTTTAACAGGTGAAGGGTAAGTACAGTCGGTGTCAGAAAGCCGATGGCTTCTTTCAAACATTGTAGACTTTTATTTTCTCTTTGCTCCTGTTTCTTATTTTGTTTTTGCTTTTGATCCTGATTCTTTTTTTTCTTCTTAAAGATTGTTTTTATTGTGTCTAAGACTTACAAAGCCGCATTAACTTTAGTCAGTTTCTCTTTGCTAAATTAGAATTTTACCAAGTTACTGACCCATTTTTTGTAATTCTTCATAGAATAACAAAAGTAGATACAGAAAACTTCACATTCAATTTTCACCATCCAAATTTTGGGTTATTCATGTTCTGTGTTTGTCATCAAAGAATTTTTACATTTTTTTTTAACAAGGACCTAATTAAGCCAAAGCTTACTGCTTTCCTAAAGAGCATGCTCCCTTTATTATCAGGAAATCATACTTTCAGCCTGTTTTTTTCAAAAACAACTCCTTCTGACCCCGCTATCGTACCAATTGGCTCCCTACTTTCTTCTAGTCCCCTGTCCCCATTGTGGTGATTTTCACCTCTGGCTCCCTTGGACTATCCTGGAGCCCACTTGAGAAACACTATCTAGACCATAACATTTGAGACGGCCATCATACTGTCTTTTTCCTTTCCTAAGAACTCGGGTTTGGATATAGTAGGCCAAGATGAGCAGTATAGCTTGTACATCTCACTCTGTTAATTTCCATTAAGTTGCTTAGCCTCAAAGCAACCTACTCTTAATTTTTCACAAATAGTTTGTAAAATAATAGATGAACTTTTCTGAGCTATGCTCTATTCTGTTCCGTTTTTTAGAATGTAGAAGGTAAGAAGCCGTTTGATGTTTATTTTGGGAGAAGACGTTCTTGATACTTTGGTGAAGCTCAGAGGTTACTCCAGACTATGAACTCAGAAATTAGTCTGGTGATGCCCAGGGGATTATAAGGAGTGCTGGGGATTGAATCTGGGTTGGCTGCATGCAAGGCGGGTGCCCTGCCCACTGTATTATTATTGTGGCTCCATCTTGATGTTTTTCTACTGTGGTTTCCAGTGTAGTTCATCTTAGAAGGACTCTTGCAAATCCCCTATAGCTTATCTTCAAGATGAGTTTTAAACAATTCCCTATATTACTAAACCATTTAAGATCATTTTAAGAACTTGCACTTAAAATTTTCACTTAAAATTTTAAATACTATAAAGTATTGTCCTTTACATCGATAATTATTGTAGTACCAACCTTTGGGTAAGATTTAAAAAAATAATCAGCCTGCTTTGAACTTTCAAGTCCTAAGGTTTTTCTTCTGAAAATGCTCCTGTCTTTTGTTGCAGGTTATGCCAAGGTCTAGAATGGATGACTTCTCGGATTGGTGTGAGATAACTTTTTTGCTCGAAAGAGACTGCTCTATTTATTCTGTGACATGAACATTTTTTCCTAGTACCTTTGGCTGCTAAGGCAGCAGCATGTTTAATTTATAACAACACAAACCTCTATGAGCAACACTTGAATCAAGTGCAGCCGAACTGGAACATAAAAAAGATTTTTTTTTCTTAACTTTTTTTTAAATGCACTAATCTTCATTTGGATGAATATGATGTATAACAATGTTTTCAGCAACAGAATTCTTCTGACTGCTTATTCTAATGATTTGCTGACTACCTTGTAAGGAATCTGCCATATGTTTTCTTAAGTATTGTAATAACTTTAATGACCAGTTCTTTCATTTACTGACCACCTCTTTTTGCCACCCAGATGATGAATGGTTTGACAGAGTAGTAGTGGAAATCTAAGTACTGCTTACAAACTGAATCCACATTAAACATTTACTCCCTCCAAAACATATTTTTTGGACAGAACTTATTACAGAATATTCAGCTTTCCCAGAGAGAGAGAGAGAGAGAGAGAGAGAGAGAGAGAGAGAGTGTGTGTGTGTGTGTTTGCATTTATATGGGGACTGGAGAGATATCTCAAAGGGCTGAATGCATACTTTGCATGTGGAAATCCTGGGTTTGATTCCCAGCACCACTTTGTCCCCTCAGCACCTCTGAGTGTGGCCCAAACAATAAAACATCTGTGTGTGTCTGTGTGTCTGTCTGTGTGTGTGTATAACACATCATGAAAACTGCCTTTAAATGAATTCAGTTTCCCCAAAAAAGTAATTTTTAAGTTTCTAATATTAGCATTGAAATTAAGCGGACTACTTAGATAAAAGAGTAGAGTCCTTTCTTGCCTATAACCCATAATTAGTTTTGTTATAAGCTAATCAAATTATTTATTTGAAAACCCAATTCTGATGGTAAATATTTTGGATAAATCTGGTATATTTAAAGTATCACATTACTCACTGCATCTATAACTATTGGAAATTAGTAAAGCATACCAGCACTAAATGAAAAGAACACACTTGGAATATATTTTACTACCTATTACAAAGCCATTTTTTATCAGTAAAAAACTCAGCTATTCCTTTTACAAGGAACATTATATCTGCTTAGGAAATAGTTCATTTTATTTCTTAAAACTCAAAATTGTATCTGTAATAGCATTTCTACCACCAGCAGTATATCACTTAAAAAAAACCACTTGGTTTTCCTTCTATTTTTGAATCTTCACTGCAGACAGGCTTAGGCTAGTGGCCAGTTCACAATTATGCCTCATATTCTGTGTCTCTTGATGGATGCTAGGAAATGCTGAATTTTAACCCTAACATTTAGAACGCTATTTACTAGGAGAGACTCAAAGCTAATACACTGACAACTTAGAAAGTTTTCAAGAGTTAAAAAGAAAAAGTCATAGTCATAAGTTTAAGGGATAGCATTAACAAGTTTAAAGGCAGCTGAAATCATCTAAATTGTGTATTCCTTTAGTGTGAGGACAGGTTTTACATCTTGATTCTATTATTCAGATTTTTTTTTTTTTTAGTGAAAGGGAGAAATTTAGAAAATACTTTTAATGGTATTCCATGTTTTCATTTGGATCAAAAATATAATTCAGTGTTCACCAAGGATGTTAAAATACCTTTTCAAAATTGTTAACATAATTTCAATATTTTTTGTAAGCAGGTTTAAATGTTGCTTTGTTTTCAGATATTCTTTATTTATTATACTTAATCTCATTAATTTAGTTGATTGTGGTAACAGTTTTTGGCTTATATTTAATGTTAGCACACCTTAGAGATGAAAAATGATTAGGAGAAAGCTTTCTGGATTTAGAGAACTAGCTGTTTATTAATTTTGTTTTGGACCTTTTTCTTAAGTGGCTCTATATCAGGTGGAGGAATTTTTATTATTTTTAATATAACCCATAATCAAGACCATGACAGCAAAGCAGACATAAATCATTCTGGATGCTTGTGGTGTATATGTGGTGTGGGGATTTAGGAGGAATTAGCAAAATACCATTTACCTTAAAGTACACTTTGTTGGAATTTCTTTCTTGGTTATATAGTTTAGTCATAAATATTGAGGACAACTCTTTTAACTCTGTCCTGCAGAGAAGCATGTTTATTATTCCTGTATTCATTCTTATGAAATTTGTATGTAAAAGATTGGCTGGCTCAATTTTCTTCTATCAAATTATATACTTATTTTTTTATATTACCACATCAGCATTATATTGAAAGTGTTTTTAATAGTTGATTATATTTTGTCAACTACTAGTATAGACTCAAGTTTGCTATTTAATTTTTATGTACGATTTATTTTCTAAATCCTTTAAAAAACATTTTGTTAATTTAGAATTAGAAATGATTATATAAGCTGTGTGTTGAAGATGAAATTGGCATTTATTGTGCCAATGGTTGGGAAAACTTCAATTAGGAAATATTTTATAAATTCTCATTAGATATTTCCTATTATAGTAATATGAAGAATGATTATCTTTTACTCCAAGAGAATGTTTGACCCAAACAAGTATCTAATACTATAGATTCTGACATTCAGTGTTTATCCAATGTTTATTGATCAACCAAGTGCAAGGTGTCATCTGATTAAAAAAAAAAACAATTTGTAATTAGTGCCTTTATTCACATTTTTGAGAAAAATTCTCTGTTGGTTACTACATCTATTCTTTAGATCTGGGATTACAGCTAATTAACAGTGAAGTAATTCAAGTTTCACTTCCTTCCTCTTCAGTCCTCCAATTTAACAGCAGAGTTTCATATTAGAAAGCAATGAACCTACCCACAAGAAATTACTCTTCTTAATCTGAAGATAAGGAAGCTAAATATTCACAAATCTTTTCAACGTCTTATTGTAAAAAGAAAAGTGTAACTTCTACCCTTGTAAGGTCAAATATGTTTTTCCTGATTTTTGGACAGAACATGTTATGTTCTCATATTTAAACCTACTGTTTTTGTTGAAACCCATTTGAAAACTGTTTTAAAATTTACAGACCCTGTTATATGGGACTATTTAGTATGATTTAATTCCTTATATATAAAATTATATATCATCTGTTGAAAAATTCTGATTAAATACTTAGATTTTGTTTTTAGTTTCTGTGTTAGTGTGTGTATTAAAGGCTTGGTTTTATTCACTATTCATTAGAGGAAAGATAATATATTCAAATTTAATTGTTAAAAGTAATTTTAAAGGGCACCACCTCTATCACCTTGATAGCTATATTTGTTTTGATTCAGCGTAAATTAAAATTCATTATAGCATAAAGTTAAAACATTTTCCTATAAAATAGAGAGTACTGTAAACAGTATTCTCTGAAGAGTGATAAGTCCATGAGGATCACAAAGCGAAGGATATTTTAAATAATAAAAGCTTTATTTAAAAAAAATTATCTGTGTAGTATCTTGGGACAAATTACACACAGAATTGTTTCCAGTAATTTATATTTTAATCCTTAACTATGTAAAATTGTATTAATAGGGGAAAAAAAACTGGTTTTAGGCTTACAGATAGATAAATTCCATGGAGATTTATCTATGAAGGGCAATTTTTCAAGTCAAACCTTCTTACCCGTGGGGTTGGATCTAAAACATTTCACATCCAGTTTAATTCTAGAGAAGCTATGTAACATATTGATTCAAACAGAATCATCTGAAGACAGTCGGAGAGTATGCCAGTTCTCTCGGTAGAGCTGAATCTTAATTTGGCCTCTACTGGTCTTGTTGATCTTAGTAACTGTCCATGGCTTTCCTATTGTTTTTACTGCAGAGCTTAAGTAAAATGGATTAAACCAAATTTGTTTTTAGCTTTGAATCCCACCCCCATTCTTTTATTTAACTCATGAATACAATCAAGAAAACATAGTATCAATTATTACTGCTCCCGTTAGATCCAACTAGTAGCTAATGACAATGCAAAAGAGAGAAAATAAGCCATATTACTAAGAAATTTCTGTTAAACACCAGCGTGTTGTTGGAAATTCTTTCTCCTAGAGAATATCTTGCTTATTTTCCTGACTCATTAATTATATGGATGTTATTACTTTGTTCATAATTTATTGGTAATTACTTTTTAGGGGTGGGGTCAAACCAGGCTATGCTCAGGGGCTCCTTCCAGTTCTGCACTCCCTGCGGTTCTTGGGGACCCCTAAATTGCTGGGGTTTGACCTGGACTCCTGATGCAAAGACTGTGCTCATCTCTTGATCTCTCCAGCCCCGTTTATTGGTTTTAAATCCACCCCAAATTCATCGTTTGCTTTTCTAGTATTTAATGGGATTGTACAGCCAGGATGTTGGTATTTATAAATCTAACATAGTTTATATTCAAAGTTAGTTTTTTTAATTTTTGTTTTCAGAAATGCCTCACTCTCATGTTCATTCAGTATTATTGTGAATACTGAAATCTTAATGCCAGGTTCCCCCAAAGTATTTTTTTAGAGTTCTAGTATCCAAAGCTAAGTAGAGAAGGCAAATAACACATAGCTTTTCAACTCCTTGGTTTCAGACTTAAAGTAGAATAAGGATTGTATTCAGTAGACTTCATAACAGTTTTAAATGTATATAGTTTGGGAAATAGTAATTGGAATCTTTTGGTCATACCTAGAAATAAAAGCCAAAATACTTGAAAAAAGGTAAAAACATGGAGTGGAAGAATCTTAGAAAGGACATTAGTAGAAAGTTTAATAGAAAGTAATAGTTGCTCCCAACTAACTAAAGCATTAAAATTAATAGAAAGTTCAGTCTTGTAGCAGAGCTGGATGGTGTATATATTTTTTAAATATAGCCACAGGATAAAGGACTGAGCGGTATTTTAGAATTTGGGGGGAGCCACAGGGAGCTGTCTTGCGTTTTTTAAAATCAGTCTGCATTTGCTTCCAAAATGGAGAAAGAATAAAATGTGCTGTGTATAACCGTATAACGTTTGGACTAGAAAACAGTTTAGATGAATGGAAATACTCTCTTGCACAAACTTTTAAGATTTTAATTTAAAATTACCTCACTTTTCAATCTGCATGGTGCTTTGCTCCAGTTTCTAGGAAGTCACATCATAAATATCCCTGTCATCTAAACTGGGTTCACAGCCACAGAATTCACAGTGAGGGTCGAGCTTTGGTGGGATTCAGTCTCCTTGCTGTTCCGGGCAGTGAGGCTCAGGTGCTGTCATAGATGCCTAATCTGATCCTTAGACCGAAGGAACTAGTGCTCATTCAAACCACAATTCAGGCTTGGAAAAGGAATGGCCCTAAAACTTAATCAATTCTATTTTACCACAATTACATTTCTGTTAGTGTGTTGAGCTATCAATGGCTATCAGTTTATCTTGGCTTTGTGTAATTTCATATCTTGGCCCAATTTATTCAAGACTGTAATTTCATGTACTTTTCCTCAGGAAATTCAGGGCTTTACAGCCCCTATTTTGTTCTCTTGGAGTAAATTGTTCTATATCATTAGGAAAATTTTGTTTTGGTGTAAAAAAAAAAAGCTGCTATCTCCCCCCTCCCCCCAAAAAAAGTAAAGTAATACTTATGTTCCTCCTCCCCATGGTGTAATAGTTATAAATTTTATCCTATTCATCTGCTGCACAGCATGTTTTTTTTTAAAATATATATATACACAAAAACTAAAAGCAGTTACAGCCTTGATCTTGCATTTATTCTAATCAGAATATAATGGTTATAATCATACATTGCCATCTTAACAGAAGTTGGTGCTTTGGAGCATTAAAGAGGAAACAGCAGTTCCTGTATGATATAGCTTGTCAGAATATAAAACTAAAAGTGTCTTGCATTTATGTTCATTTCTTAAAGTTTAAATAAGAGCTGTTATTATTCATCAAGGTTCAGCCTTTGCAAAAACTATAGCATCTTAATTAATCACCTTGATCAAATAGAAGATGGGGTTAATGAGTAAATTCTAAAATTATGAATTGGTTTTCTCTGGACCTCTCATTGTATAGAGGGACCAGAACAAATATTTCACATTACAAACTGTAGCTTGATACCAACTGAGCAACTGAAATGTGCCCTATTGGTCCAATACGTAAGCATTACTATAAAGATAATTAGAAGCAACAAATTAATGCATCACATCAGTTCTTGAAAATGGTTCAAAGCATGTTCTAGTGGTGGAGTTGTTAAAATGAAACGTTCTAAATTTAATAGCTTCATTACTATCATAAAATATTTTTATATGTTGGGTTTAGGTTGCTGGTTCTCATAATTTTTTTTATTTCTACAATTACGTTACAGTAAATTCCTTGCATGCTACTTACTCAAATAAAAGGATGCTGTTTGCTCTGGAATGTTCATCTTTTAGACAGGTTGTGGCTCATTTGCAATCATGGTGCAATATGGTGTAA